CCCAGGCGAGGTGCACGGAGCCGGCTAGCACAGCGTGGCACTGCGCGCAGTGGAACACCGCGCACCTCTCGGGCTGCAGCCACCGCGGGAGCTGCAAGCGGGTGGCCGGCTCCTCCGTCCCTAGCGCCGCAAGGCCGAGCGGCGAGGACCCCTGCACCACCTGCGTATCCCATTCCAAGGAAGTGCTAAAAGAGGGTTCTGCAGAGGCTTTCTTAACATCACGAAAGTCACCGCGGGGCAAATTCGCGTAGCGCGAACGATGCCGCCGCGGCTGAGCCGCCATCTTCCTGCAGTCGGCGCCTCTGTTTCGAACGCACACCAGGCCCCGCCCCAAGCCCAGGTCTTGCACTCTGATTGGACAGTGCGGGTCGTGGCTCTGCCCCACACAAAATACTTGAGTCTGCCGCTCACGTCCGTCGGCGCCAACCTATTGGCGAGGGGACGGTAAGAGAGTGCGTCCTACGGGCCTGGACATAGGCCTCTTTTATTGGTCAGTGACAGAAACCCCGCCTTCGAGACATTTTCAGCCAATGGGGTTAGAGCATTTTTTATTTAAACTAGCTATAAAGTGCGGCTTGGTTAACGCTTAGAGTGGCGCCAGAAGTTTGGACCGCCGAGTTGTGCTTTCTGGACCTCTTGTCTGCGTGTAGCGGGATTGCAGATCGCGATGACTGTCCCCTCCTTCGAGGAGCTGGACTCCCTCAAGTACAGTGACCTGCAGAACTTAGCCAAGAGCCTGGGCCTCCGGGCTAACCTGAGGGTATGAGGCGGGCGGTGCAGGCGGTTGGGCGAACGGCGAAGGAGGCGCGGTCGGAAGGGATGAGCGAGACCGGGGGGCGGTGGATTTGGTTTATGGTGGTCACAGTTAAAATTGCTCAACTGAAGGAGAGCCGTATTTTCACCTTATTTCGAGGCTGACTGTGTGGGGGCTCACATAGGCCTCTGCTCCAAAAGGATTGGTTTGGTTTGGTTTTATCTGATATCGGTTTGGTTTGGTTTTATCTGGAACATCAATTAGGAAACGCAGCCCTAATCAATGTTGTCCAATGCCAGTTGATTGTTAGGCACTTGAAAAAATAATTGGCTCAGCTTTTGGAAAACTAAATAAAATGTAATAGTGCCCGTGGTCCCTTGATACTGTGTCTGTACTGGGTGACCTGGCAGAAAGGATGACTTCTAGGCGACCAACCCTATGGGTAAATTTTTTTAACCCAGCTTTGATCTACCATGATTTATTTATTGATTATTAGTGTGTTGTTACTCTCTTTCAAAACTGGAGAGGTCTTTGAGGCTGCACGATGTTGGGGAAATATCGGATGGGGTTTTATATATTCTAGTTGAAATTTCCCACATAATACTAAGTATATTCTAGAGACTGGAACTGAGTTTAGGCTGTGATATTTATACTGAATGAAAGCCTAAATCTGACAACACAAATGCTTTTAAATGGTTAAACAAAATCATCAAAATAATCAGGGTCCTTGTACCTGTTGGGGCTGAGAGATGGGGGAGTGTCTTTGGGAGTATTTCTAGGCTGTCCTGTTTAATGACTCCCTAATATATCTTAACCAAAGCTGCTCAGCTTAAATCCTTGAGGCTCTAAAGCTGGCTGGCTGGATACTTTTGGTCTAAGGCTGCATCATCCCTGAATATTTGGCACCCCTTGTACCCTTGCTTATTTTGACCTTTTGACCTCAGACCCCTATTTCTTTCCTACTTTATCTGCGTGAATAATTTTCATTTACCCTTCACAGTCTAACTGAAATGTCCTCATTGACTTGGTGCCTGGTCCTCCTCTCTTGGCTAAAGGTACACCATCCCAGTGATCCTAGGACCCTTCCATGCTTTTGAAGCAATTTATTTTCAGGGGCCAGCAGGTGGCCTGGTGGTTGAGGATGCTGGACTCCCATGTGGCTGAATGAGGTTTGAGCCCTGGACCCGGCTTAGTTTCTCACTCTCCCCCTACCTTCTCTCACTCTTTTTTTTCTTTTTCTCTCTCATTCTGTCCCTCTCTGGTCAAATTTAAAATAAATAAATAAGTAAAATAATTCTTAAAAAAAAAAAAAAGACAGTTTATTCTGGAACTGGCAGGTGGTATAGTGGTTAAGGTGTTAGACTCCCACATGGCTGACTATAGTTTGAGTCCTGGACCTGGTGGCTTGCTTTCTCACCTACCCTTTCTCTCTCTGATCATATTTAAAGAAATAAAATTAAATTTTAAAGGATTATTTTGTTTAACTTTATTTATTTTTTATTTGACCAGGGAGGGATAGAGTGAGAATGAAAGAGAGGGAAAGCGTTTAGTGAGAAAGCAAGTTGCCAGGTCTGGGACTCGAACTAAGGTTGGTCATGTGGGAGTACAGCGCCCTTAACTACTATGCCACCTGCCTGTCCTGTGTTACTTTTTTTATGTTATCAGTAAGACTTCTGTCAACAATAGGCTATTACTATCAATAGATGACTTTGGAGGGAGTCTAAAGTTATATTCAGTATTTTTGTTTGTTTTATTTTATTTTATTTTATTTATTTTTTTTAGAGAGAGATTTTTGCTATAGGACTCATGCACTCACCAGAGAGATAGCGATAGGCAGAGAGACAGAAAGTGATAAATGATCCCCGAGGGTGGGGGTTGGCGACACCACAATCCCTTATCCATTCTCCTCTCTGGATTCTGGGCATGCACACACACCGGCCCAGTGTGAGTTTCAAGAGTTTCAAGCCACCAGATCTGGAACTCAAACCACTGTCTATGGGGGTAGTCCAGCGATGTAACCATTACCCCAACTACTGGTCCCTATATTCAGATTCTTTTTTTTTTTTTTTTTGGGGAGGTTTTCGCTATGGGGCGGGGGCACTCACCAGACC